CAATTTTTTTTACTACCGGTTCTGTGGGTGTGGTATGGTAGGCGTTGTATGGCTTGATGGGCATAACAGGGGAAGGATATTGTAAAATCTCCATTCCCTCCCCACTCCAGGGAAAGGTTGCTGCAAAATTCCCATTTCTTCCCGATCACCTGTGATTTGGGAGGCAGAGAATAGATGTGGGCGGACTAGCCAGAGGTGGTATTTACTGGTTCTCCAAATTATTTAAAATTTCTGCTACCAGTTTTCCAGAACTTGTCAGAAATTGCTGAATATCACCTCTGGTTCACAGTAGTTTTGCATTTTTGATTCCACTTAAATTAATGAGTCCAAGACTGAAATAATTTTAGATTTTTGACAAATGTGAAAACTAAGTACCAAACATTTAATAATGCATAAATAAGTAATTGACTTTCCATTCCAGATGATCCTCTGAGGAGCAATTTAAATGCTAGTAGCTGCCTATAACTGATTTTTTCTTCCTGATACAGTAAATAATGTATTATGTATGTGAGACATAAAAAGGTAGGTATACAAAGGAGACCATTTCTCCATGAAATTTACTTGCCTATAATTCAGACCTAATGACTATTTACTTCCTTTTGTCTGTTGACTGTTCAAAAGTTGTTTGGTATGAATAGTGAATTGAGCAGTAGAAAAGACAAAAGGAAATAAGTAAAAATGTTACAGGAATATTGTAATCTTAATTTTTAATAAAGTTTCATTGTAAAAAAGGAATTTATTATAAAATAACAGATGGCCTGCTGAGGCTTGAGAGAGCCAATTGTTAAATTTTCTGGAATGTTGTGTTATATAATATCAGAGTGATACTGATTTTATAGGCTTATTTACCAAGAATTAACTTCCATTTAGTTCTTACTCCTGGATATAGAATTGGTCTCTAAACAGTGTACGTATATTAGAAGTAAAATGAACAACAATATTAATTGTAACTATGCGATTAATACCAGGGCAGCATTTTAAGTGTTTCATAGTAAGAAAGATTATTACTGTGGCATCTGTAAATAAATGCAGTGGATTGAAATCATTAAAACTGATTATAAGTGAAACATTTGATAACAAATAGGAGTTCTTCACTAATCTCCAAAAGGATAAATAGTATGTCACCCAATCTGTTTTTAAGCAACTAAAAACAGTAAGCAGGGGCAAGGAAAAAGGCCCTGGGAAATTTTTCAAATTTGGCTGTACTTAAGGTAATTAACTTTACCCTTTAGCACTAGAAAGCTGCTTATGTTTTCCTTAGTTCCTATGAGATCTTATTTATCAGGCTAAATGTTCATCATGAAAGATGTCTCTTGAGATGGAGCTACACTGGCCTATGATAATAAGCAACCAAATGCACAAAACATATGGCACATTGGCAATACTTATTATCATAAGTACTTTAACTCATTTTCTTTTCTCTAAGGAATAAACAATCTTGATCTTTTTCTTTCAAAATTAATCTGCTTGAAGAACATTACTGCAGAACAAAATTTACCCACTTGCTTCCCTCCAGATGTCTGTGAATTACCAGAAACACATTTTCTTATTTAGAACATGCTTTCATAAGAGATCTCTATGGGAAATGAGGAAGGGATGTCCATTCACCCATCCTTCCATCCATCATCTCTTGTTTTGTTACCTATGATTAAACAAATGTGGAATGCAAAAGTCTCTACAACTTCTAGGTGACAATAAAATAATACACAAGACTCTTTCTAGTGCCATCTAATGATTGTCCTGATTTTTGTAGCTCAGATCTGTACATCTACTTAGTCAGACAAGTCATGATTCTTTTTCACTAACCTGTGCTAGTTCAGTTTACCTGCCACCAAATCCATCCTAAAAGCTGGCTTTTGGCTAGTGGAAGAAATTGGAAGAAAAGGGAGCCCATAAGATGAGATCTTGAGACCACTAGATTAAAACATAAGACATAAAACAAAATGCATAGAAACCAAACAAACTTTATGGCTTAACATGATGTGGGAAGCCAGCCAAAAAATAGCGTATGATAATGAATTGTTTAAAATGTTAGAATTATCAATCCAAATAACTCTTAAGGTATATTTTAATGTATTAATAGAGATAATGAATTGTCATTGGCACATAGGATGTGGGACATTTAACCCAGGGGTGGGTTGCTGCTGGTTTTACTACCNTATATATATACACACACGTACATCAATAGTTGAATGCTAAGTCATGGCTTGGTATGGTAACTTCAACTTTTTCCCCTTCTTCCATGGCCAAGAAAAGAAAACAGTTATTTCTTCCAGTAAAGGTCAGGATTTATAAAACAATATTTATATGTTATGTATTTTAGAACATGACATTTTTAAAATGTCACACCCTGCCTGAATTTAACAATCCTTTTTTTATTACCGGACAGAATAAAGACACTCCATACCCACAAGGATCCAGAAGTATTTGGTGTGCCCTTTGCTATGGCTTTGGAAGGCCTTTGGCTCTAAGCAGCACTTTCCGTATTCTGGCAGATTTGCTTGGATTTGCTGGTCCACTTTGCATCTCTGGGATTGTTCATGTAAGGAAAGAAAACAGCTCTTCGCCTGTCCAGGTACTTCCTAAGAATCAATTTAAAATGTCTTCTAACTTGTTCTTGGTTCTAATCTTGTTAAAGTCACTTTTTCTAAACTTCAAGCTGTAGAACTCATGGTCTCTGGCCTAATTATATGAGGGCTTGTGGGCGTTTCAAATTCACTCTCGGTCCCTGGACGAGCCTTGGGGTAACTGATTCCTTTTCCTTTTTGTGTGCGTGAGTGAATGAGTGTGAGTGAATGAGTCACTCGGTTGTGGCCTTGACACTGTTCCAACTGGCACCAAGCCACAAGAAATGACCAGAAGGCTGTCAAAAAATAAAATACAGTATTTATACAAACAGTTACATTTTCCCATTCCCAGGATTATCATTTTCCTATAACAAAGAAGCTGCAGATCTTCCAAATAATTGTGTCTCTCGCTCTTTCGCTCTCTCTCCACAGCAATTAAGAAAAAAACAGATTCTATTGTGACCATTTCCATGGTAGTTTTGAGGGCCACCCCAAAAAAGTTTTTATAAATACAAATTCAACAAAAAAAACTTTTGGAGTTAAGAAATGAACAATTTTTGTACTAATTAATGAGGTTTGTTATCTTTAAGATTCCATAAACAATTAACAAAAACATAAACAATTAATCAGTCTGATTGCAGATATGCAGTAGTAAAAGGTTGGCATTTGTATAATAGAGTAGAAATAGAATAATTTCTGTAATTGTAGCTTTTAAAACAATATATTTTCAAGTTTTCTTCATCAAATCAGTATTTAGTTAGAGGAAACAATAATAGTATTTTGGACTATAGATTAAAATGATTAGAAATAAAAATAATAATATAATTTATTATAGAGAGATGCTGCTTTAGTTCATGTAACATATTTAAAAGGTAACCACCTTAGTGATTTATAGAACAATTTAGTGGTTCTTGTGGTAACACGAAACCTTTTAATGCTTTATCATTTATATAAGCATTATTAATATAGTGTGGCTAACCTCAACATTTAATAGAGCTAGCCTCTCTTAAAAAAACACAGAGAATGGCCTTATAAAGAATAATCTAAACTATCATGACTTTGAAAGTTAAGCATTATATTTTATTCAACCATATATTATTTTAGAATTTATGTCATACTAACAATACTTTTTCTTTAGTAATAGCTGTAGGCAGCATTAATCATTTATTTTTGTTCTTGTACACACTAATAATGGAGCTTGTTTTGAATATACTTTGCTTCCAAAATTAGATGTAAAAATAAAATGAAGAGCAGATCATGCAGTAAGAAATATATTAAGATATACATTTAAACAGCCTGATGCTGGAGAAGACAAGGCAAAGCCTGAGGGTGGAGTCAAATACATCATCAAACTGGCATCCCTATGCTATCAAAAGAGACCTATATCTAGTCCTCCTTGACTCTTATCTGGTGTCAATTCAGATTGATAATTAGTAGATCAGATTCTTGTGTATATGTTGAATGAATAAACTTGCAATGCTTATTAATTCTATCCCATCTCCAATTTCTTGCACCTGATACCTACATTTGTTTAAGTAGGAGAATTATAATGTAAGTGGTTTGGTTTTTTTTAAAGAACTAAATGTTTTATTCTTTCAACTAAATTCCAGTACTACAAGGGCAGTAAAACAGTGATAGACTGAAAAATTGCAGCAATAAACATTTGTTAAAGACTTATAGAATAAGAAAAACCTACAAAAATGAGAACTTATCTAAACCCATTCTTAACCCCCCCCCCCCCAAAATGTTCTCCTTTACTATTTCATAGGCAACTTATATTAGTAATAGTAACAGTATAATAGAATTGGAAGGGACCTTGGAAGTCTTTTAGTCCAGCCCCCTGCTCAAGCAGGAGACCCGATACCATTCCGGACAAATGGCTGTACAATCTCTTCTCTCCAGTGATGGAGCACCCACAACTCCTACAAACATTGGAAAACAACTTAAAATATTATAAGTTAAATAATAAATTGCACTATCAATGTTCATTCAAACNAGAATCCAGCCCATTCTCATTGCCATCTTCCTTTGGGTAGAACTTTCTTTTGAAAGTAGTCCAGTAATCAAATACAATTAATTGTCTTAAATGGGGCAAATTCAGGCACTTTTCAAGTCACAACTCATGGGCTTAACTCTACATTCAGAGAAGCTTCTTTGATCTATTTTATTTACTTAATCTGTATGGCACCTATTCCAAGTTGTTCTGGGCAACTAATATTAACAAACATCACCAAGTGACAACCCCCACAAAAGAGTATGCAAGCACACCCGTAAAATAAATAAATAAAGGAAAAATGGTATACATATACATAAGAGGTCTATTTATAGTTGTATATAAATTTTGATGTTTGGTGATCATCCATAGTTCTATAAGAATAACAGTTCTGCTGATCTTTTGGATTTTTGAAATTCAGTAAAAAAAATCTGACTGAAAATATGTCTTTAATAGATATATGGTCTGAAGTAATGTGTTTTGTTTTTGTTTTTCTAATAAGACATTTGTTGTCCATACCCATCTCTTTGTCAATGCTGACTTTTCTCCTTCGGTGGCCTTTGCATCGCTCTCCCTTTTCCACATCCTTGTGACACCCCTGTTCCTACTCTCCAGTGTGGTTAGATCCACTGTTAAAGCTCTTGTAAGGTAAGGTTTCATGAGTGAACTCCCCCAAAAGCTAAGACACTTGGTTTAAAATAGTCACCTCCATTGCCTTGGGAGTCATTTAGGATTTATTTAGGATATCATTTTGTATAATAGTGTTATCATAGATTTTAAAATGTGTTAAATGTTTATGATAATATGTGATAAAATCTTAATAGTATTTTCTCATCCCATTCTGTTTTGCACACACAACTACATTCTATCACACAGTTCATCTCTGATTACTGTTTAATAAGTCTTATATGATTACCACAAATCCACATTAATTCAATAAGAATTTTACAGCTCAAACTTTGGATACGCATGCTTTTAGAAGTTTGTGCTTTAATGCCTTCCATGATATAACATGTGTGCAGAATCTGCTGCTTTTATACTTCATCCTGTGCCTTCATAAAAAAAGTGTCAAGAAATTGAGAATGATCACTTAGTATTAATATACTTTTAAATATGTTTACCTATATGCAAGTACGTAATAGATGTAACTAGTGTCTTCTCAGGCACCTTTTCTCTGTCATGCTCAGAATCAATTTGACTAGACTTTAAGATCTATGCAGATTATTGAAAAAGAGACACCCCTTATCTATGGACAAGGCAATATGGAGATTTCAACATAACATTTTATTATGGACTTATCATATTTCCTGAATTTATTATATGTTCAGACACTGTTATCTCCCGTTTGTATCTCTTATGGTTTTTTTTTTTCATCCTTCCTACTATCAGAAGGCATAATGTACTTTTCAGTACTTTTTTTAAGGTCCTTGGTGCTCTCTGAGCTTGGTTGTTTTCTTGCAGAAGTTCCATTCCCAAACTATGTAACATCCTCAATGCTAGCTAGTGCTGATCTAATATCTTACACATACCTGTTATAAATATTCTAATAAATAATCAATAGCAGACATGAAGCCATCAAAATTTCAAGATTATACTCCAAGTATAATGAAGTAATGAAGTTTTTCTGCTCATGATTTCGACAATAATTAGAATCCCACAGCTTTGTTCCAAAATATATTTGGTGGATACAGTTATTCTCCATAGAAACTGAAACCCGGCATAATCAAACAATACCTAAACAGTTATAAAAGCCCTAAAAACTGACATGCAAAATATAAATAGAAAGTCCTAATAACAAGCTAGCTTAATATTCTTATTCAGATTCCTAAAAGGGCGGTATGTATTTGTGATCATTTCAGTGCATTATTATGCATCCTTAATCCAATCAAAATGGAATCCTTATCTGTCCAGGGCTGGACCTCAAAATGGGATCAAGGGCTGCAGTTTCCTAAAGTAATGAACACTGTTGTTGTATGCAGCAGTGGTATAATTTGTTTAGCTTGCTACCATTCTTCTCTTTTCATAGTGTCCAAAAGTTAAATGAATTTCTCTCGAGTGAAGAAATTGCAGAAGAGCATGATAGATGTTCTGAGCCAAGAAGCCCAGACAACCACAGCAAATATCAAAGTCTTGTAAGTGTCATTTTAATTTGATTGGGAAACTGGCAACATCCCATTCTTAAATCTTTGCTAGTACAGTAATGCCAATAACTGTCACTTTCCTTGTAATTAATAGCCACAGTAGTAAAATTTAACATCTACTTATTGTAGATTACATGGTGACTGATCTTTGTTTAAAGCCAGCAGAGGATGATGAGACAGTTTTCTGGTAGGAACTGCCAGCTGCATTGTGAAACAATTGCAGGGGGGGGCGGAATCCAATCCTTATCAGAATGGTTGGGATGCATCTCAGTCAACAGTGCTATATAAAGGCATGCAGAATTCCCTGGAACAGGATTAAATACCCAGCAGCAGTAATAGATCCAAGATAATTCACAACTGCATGCTTAGAAAATTATCTCATGGATCATGTTGCACCATAGTCTGAATTAAGTGGTGGGTTTAAGTAGTCAAAGTATCTTGTTTCAGTTATTTTGCTAAGTCACGAACCATGGTTTGCATCCAGAAAAAGTTGAGATGATCTTTTGCACTATGCTATCATAAATAAAACCTCATTATGGCTTAGTACATTATTTAAACCCACCCAAAACTGACCAAGTCCATTCACTTCTGCCTATTCTCAACCCAAACATTCATGGTAGAAACCACCTTTTCTTCTCTTAGGGAAGGAGTACATCTACTAGGAAACTAGCTCATTGTCCGTTGCTGGCATCTGCATTTATGCCCCCGCTCACCATGTTTCTGTCTTCCTGGTCTTGCACAGACCCTCAAAGTTGTTAATCGTAAGAGACCTGCCAGAGAGGACTGGAACAATTACAACTCTCCTGTAAGAAGATCTGTTAGCAGCACAGAAGCAGATGATTTTTGTGTAAAGGTGATAATAAGGTCACTCTTTCTAATTATGTTGTTTCTAATAAGTACAAAAGTTCTAGTATTATAGTCCCAAACTGAGAATACAATCCAAATTTATCTCCTGCAGTAGAGGACTACCAATTTTTTTCTTGTTAACAGAGAAAATAGACAACAATTTTGGCAATATGATTATCAGATTGGAAGATAGGCCTCTTGAAGGAGCATGGATTAATTGCTAGGAGAGAGAAAATGGTAGTTTCCACATAGCTTTATTAACCCTAATTTGTTGATCGCATCACAATTTATATTCACATATCACACCATGCCATAAAACAATGAGGCTCAATAACCAAAATCAAGCAAATCAAAATATAGCTTAGTATAATGTATAAACCTAGCCATTTACTCTTTCCACTCTGTTAAGTTTCAGGCTTAAATTATGCTAGGGCAGGTGTAGCATCTGTAGTAATCTTCATGTCAANCCAGACAGCTTATCTGTAGCTTATTTTATTCAATTTTGAAATATTCGAAATATTTCCTGTTTGGCTGCTGCAATAAGATTGCAGTGTGAACCAGGAAACTAAAAGGAATATGAGTATCCTACTTCTGAAATATATTGAACAATTTGACAGTTATTACTTGTTAAAATTAGGAAGAAATTTTGGCAACATAAGTAATAAACCATAATATTACTGTAATAGAATGGATAATTTATATTTTCATGACAATCTGCAAAGAAGACTCAGAACAATAGGGAATCCATTTGCCTAGACACAGAGAAGAAACAGTATTGTACATCAAATCTACCCAGAAAGTCCCTGGAAATTGCTAGTGATTATTTTCTTGCTATCATTCATGGTACAGAAGCACTACCAGAACTGTGATGAATATAGCCTGGATTCCCAGGAAGGGGGGAATGCATTCCAGAGGAGTAAGAGACAACTCAATTCAGATGGTTTGTGTAAGATAAAGAGAGTGAAAATTGCTTCTCCGTAAGAGTTTTCAGACTATATCCTTTATGGGGGTGGTAGTCTGCTTTAGTTTGGCAAGATTTTGTCTGTAGGTGAGGATCAGTAAAGAAATCTGCTTGGAACAATCGCAATATGTCTTTCTTTGAATAATACAGTACAATATCAATGTATTGTAGCTATTATACCTGACTAAAAAACAAGTAATCTAAAAGAAAAGGGCTAATCATCATTTATATTGGGTCTGTAATTATTGGCATAATTTTTTTTCACTGCATTTTGTTATAGCAGTTAGTACTCTTCTAAAGTAAATAAAATGCATGAGAATGAAAGAGATTTAGATACAAAAGTATGTAAATATAATAAGAAAAAAAATATTTTCCCTACAGTTTTCATGAATGCAGCAATACCAATTGCAGCTGTTCTTATAGTAAGTATAAACATTTATATTAAATGCAATTTTTAAAGAAAAAAATAGAGAAAGATACACCTTTTTAGTAATGAATGTGTTGATTCTGCTTTTGCTGACTTTAAATTACTATGAGGAGATCTGGATCCATAAAATTTGTTCATGCTATAGGAAGGAAGGAAGACACCAAATTTCAGCAATTACTCTTCCCAATAGCTACTAGGAAAAAAAAGCTTTGCAGAGACATAAGAAACATAGGAACAACATGAAAGATTATACTAAGGACTGCAATAAAAGATGAAATATAAATTTTAAAAGGTCAGTGTAAATCACTGGCCTTTCCCATTGCAGATGCACCTAAGGATTTTAAGATGATGCTGAACTGAAACTCAGCATCTTCCAGAAACAGTACTGGTTTGGAGCTAGGGTGGATTATGTTCTCAATGCACTGGCTGACAGAATGATGGATGGGTAAAAAAAAGAGTAGCAACTACTTTATATTATTTCAAAAGCTATAGAAAATCATATTGAATAGTAAGTTTGGTTTTGTTATTCTTGAATCTCTTGACAGTAACTGGTTCTGTCTACTACATATAGGAGAGAATCCAGCCCATTCTCATTGCCATCTTCCTTTGGGTAGAACTTTCTTTTGAAAGTAGTCCAGTAATCAAATACAATTAATTGTCTTAAATGGGGCAAATTCAGGCACTTTTCAAGTCACAACTCATGGGCTTAACTCTACATTCAGAGAAGCTTCTTTGATCTATTTTATTTACTTAATCTGTATGGCACCTATTCCAAGTTGTTCTGGGCAACTAATATTAACAAACATCACCAAGTGACAACCCCCACAAAAGAGTATGCAAGCACACCCGTAAAATAAATAAATAAAGGAAAAATGGTATACATATACATAAGAGGTCTATTTATAGTTGTATATAAATTTTGATGTTTGGTGATCATCCATAGTTCTATAAGAATAACAGTTCTGCTGATCTTTTGGATTTTTGAAATTCAGTAAAAAAAATCTGACTGAAAATATGTCTTTAATAGATATATGGTCTGAAGTAATGTGTTTTGTTTTTGTTTTTCTAATAAGACATTTGTTGTCCATACCCATCTCTTTGTCAATGCTGACTTTTCTCCTTCGGTGGCCTTTGCATCGCTCTCCCTTTTCCACATCCTTGTGACACCCCTGTTCCTACTCTCCAGTGTGGTTAGATCCACTGTTAAAGCTCTTGTAAGGTAAGGTTTCATGAGTGAACTCCCCCAAAAGCTAAGACACTTGGTTTAAAATAGTCACCTCCATTGCCTTGGGAGTCATTTAGGATTTATTTAGGATATCATTTTGTATAATAGTGTTATCATAGATTTTAAAATGTGTTAAATGTTTATGATAATATGTGATAAAATCTTAATAGTATTTTCTCATCCCATTCTGTTTTGCACACACAACTACATTCTATCACACAGTTCATCTCTGATTACTGTTTAATAAGTCTTATATGATTACCACAAATCCACATTAATTCAATAAGAATTTTACAGCTCAAACTTTGGATACGCATGCTTTTAGAAGTTTGTGCTTTAATGCCTTCCATGATATAACATGTGTGCAGAATCTGCTGCTTTTATACTTCATCCTGTGCCTTCATAAAAAAAGTGTCAAGAAATTGAGAATGATCACTTAGTATTAATATACTTTTAAATATGTTTACCTATATGCAAGTACGTAATAGATGTAACTAGTGTCTTCTCAGGCACCTTTTCTCTGTCATGCTCAGAATCAATTTGACTAGACTTTAAGATCTATGCAGATTATTGAAAAAGAGACACCCCTTATCTATGGACAAGGCAATATGGAGATTTCAACATAACATTTTATTATGGACTTATCATATTTCCTGAATTTATTATATGTTCAGACACTGTTATCTCCCGTTTGTATCTCTTATGGTTTTTTTTTTTCATCCTTCCTACTATCAGAAGGCATAATGTACTTTTCAGTACTTTTTTTAAGGTCCTTGGTGCTCTCTGAGCTTGGTTGTTTTCTTGCAGAAGTTCCATTCCCAAACTATGTAACATCCTCAATGCTAGCTAGTGCTGATCTAATATCTTACACATACCTGTTATAAATATTCTAATAAATAATCAATAGCAGACA